ATCCACAAATCATCATATACCATCCAGAGAACCCAAAAAGTATAGGCCGGCAATATAATAGAAGGTGCAAGGTTAAAAAAGAAAAAAGAAAAAGAAACAGAGAAAACGCAAGGTTCCCCACATTTGTGTGGTTGAGCGGGAAGTGCCCACATACCTGTCTGCCACCAAAGCGGCGCACTTGGACAAAAATATATAGTTTTCTCAATCTATAAAAAAGGCGAGGGGCAAAAGGCAACATACCTAGCACGCAAGGCTCCACCAGCAACAAAGCACCCACCAGACCCACCAATGGCCTGAAAAAGCTTGGACAGCCCTCCGACTCAGTCCACAAGCACAACAGCACTGGCACTGCTATTCGTCCCAAACGACCCACTCACGTCACCACCATCTCTATCACTCCATGGCTAGACATCCCCCATCTGCTAACTAGCCTCTAGAGTGTTTAGAGTGCCATAATCCCAAAGTCCACAAGATCTTCACACGACACCAGGAGGGCTACTGCTTAAAACGCCTTGGAAGTCCCCGTCTCTTCCATGTGCTCCAAAAGAGCAGCCCATGGGAATGGCACCCACAGCAAACACTCTCTCAGCCTCCTCGCCAAGATACTGTGGCCAGAACTTCAAACTTACATTCGCAGAATCTCCACGCGACACCAGGAGCACTACTGCTTCCCCACCATGGAAGTGCCACCATCTTCCATGTGCTCCAAAAGGGCAGTCCGCGGGAGTGACACCCAGTGTCACCCACAGCGAAGACTCTCCGTGCCTCCTCGCGAAGATACCGTGGGTCCGTGACCATGACTCCAAACAAAGATTCCCGCCCAAAACAATTGCGGCCACCAACAAACATGCCTTCATCAGGAGATAGCCCATGCTCTACAGCCGGGCAAAGAATTAGGCGATGTATGAATAGAGACCCACCAACAAATTATCCGGCCACATAAAGGAATAGCTTGCTAGTACAAGCCCGATCCTAGCTGCTCAAATCTGCCAAGACAGAGAGCTAGGAAGACCAGAGTGTGTGTTTGTCAATATCCCGAAACTCTCTCTCTCTCTCATTTCATCCTCAGACCATCACAAACCATTTGCAAACAAAAGTATACATGAGCAATATAATAGAAGGTGCAAGGTCCCCGCGTTTGTGTGGTTGAGCGGGAAGTGGCCACACACCCGTCTGATGCCGAAAGCGGCACACTTGCACACATATATATAGCTCTTAAAGGTAAAGCCTTAAAGGGAAGAAGGCACCACACCTAACACAGAAGGATCCACCAGTCTGAGAAAGAAAATACCGACCAGAGGCAGCGTACCGAAAAAACTCGGAGAGCCCTCCGAGTCAGCCCACAACTGCGCAAAAAACAGGACTCTGCCAACCCTCTCTCTCTCTCTCTCTCTCTCTCTCTCTCTCTCTCTCTCTCTCTCTCTCTCTCTCTCTCTCT